AGCGTGTCGACCAGCGCCTCGGGCCGGCCGACCAGCCAGACCACCAGGGCCAGGCCGGCGGCCAGCAGCAGCGGCACCGCCCAGGTGGCCTGGCGCGAAAAGCGCTCCATCGCCGCGGCCGCCTGGTCCGGCGGCGCCTCGGTGCAGCGCAGCAGCGGCCAGAGGCTGCCGAGCCAGAAGGCGAGCCCGGCCAGGTGGACCAGCAGCAGTGCCTGTGCGAGCCAGGTCGGCTGCAGGTCGGCGGTGTGGCCGAGCAGCGCGAAGCCGGCGAGGGCGGCCAGCAGGCCGGGCAGGCCGACCAGGCGCCGCAGGGGCGGCACCGCGGTGCCGGCGAGCAGCAGCAGCAGTCCGCCGGCCTGGACCTGCGCCGCCTGCCCGGCGGGGCTCGTCAGCACGACCTCCCAGAGCGCCGGGTCGAGGCCGGCCGTCCAGCCGCCGCCCAGGAAGACCACGTCCAGCCCCAAGCGCAGCGGCAGGGCCAGCAGGGCAAGCCCGGAGCCCGCGAAGGCGAGATGCCGCGCCAGCCGCAAGGCGGGCTCCGGCGCCCGCGGCAGGAGGACGGCGAACAGCAGGGCGCCGCCGCCGCCGAGAATGCCGAGGCTGGCGAGCAGACTGAGGCCCGCCCGAAGCAGCTCAAGCTGTGGCATGAAGCTCGGCCGACGTCGCGGTCAGGGGGCGACGGTGAAGTCGAAGCCGCCGCTGACCGGATGCCCGTCGGCTGACAGCGCCCGCCAGTCCAGGCGGTAGTCGCCGGGGCGCAGCTCCGGCAGTGGCAGCGAGACCTGCGCGGCCGGCTCCAGGCTGCGCGAGCGCGGCAAGGCGATCTCCTCGCCGGCGCCGTTGCTGAGCGTGACCGCGGTCAGCCGCACCGGCTCGTCGAAGCGCAGCACAGCGCTCTCGACGCTGGCGACCGTGGCGCCGTCGGCCGGCTCGCTCGTCATCTTCTCGGTATGGGCCCAGGCGCCGTCGGCGCCGCCCAGCGCCGCCGCCAGGACGCCTGCCCGGATCAGGCCTCGCATGTCCATCCTGCCCTGCCTCGTCCCGTATCGTTGTTCGTGAACTTGCGCTAGAGCAGATGCCGACCTGAAGGACTCGCGACGCGCTCCCTCCAGGTCGGCTGACTCTGCTCTAACACAATAAAGTGAGAGCGACGTCTCGCGACCGGCGGAACCGCGGCGCGGGTTCCATACGGTCGCAAATCGCTCTAGACAACTGCGCAAATCAGATTGAGCTTCCGCCTGGTGGAAGGTCAAGTGACGCCCCCTGATCGCCGTCCGGTGCAGAGAGAGGAGCCCATGCCGAAGGACCCGAGTTCCACCGCGCGCCAGCGCGCGCCGCGAGTCTGGGACCTGCCGACCCGCCTGTTTCACTGGGCGCTGGTGGCGCTGGTGCTGACCAGCTACCTGACGGGCGAGTTCTGGCGCGGCCTCGACATGCAGTGGCACAAGCTGTCGGGCTACGGGATCCTGACGCTGCTGCTGTTCCGGCTGGCCTGGGGGGTCTGGGGCACGCGCCATGCGCGTTTCGCCGACTTCGTCCGGCCGCCGGGCGAGACGCTGGCCTATCTGCGCGGCCTGCTGGCGGGACGCACGCCCGGCTACCGCGGGCACAATCCGCTCGGCGGCCTGTCGGTGCTGGCGCTGCTGCTGGTCCTGCTGGTCCAGGCGGGCAGCGGCCTGTTCACCAGCGACGACATCTTCATCGAGGGTCCGCTCGCCGGCCTGGTCTCCGGAGCCACCGTCGATCTCATGAGCCGGGTGCACGGGCTGGCCTTCAACCTGCTGCTCGCGCTGGTCGCTCTGCACCTCGTCGCGGTGGCTGCCTACGAGGCCCTGGCCGGGCAACGGCTGCTGCGCGCCATGGTCACCGGCCGCAAGGCGGCGGCCCCGACCGCCGCTGCGAGCGACACCGCCGCCGAACGCGAGAGCGGTCGCGCAGCGCCGGCGGAGGTTCCGCTCGCGGCGCTGCGCGGCCTGCTGCTGCTGGCGCTGTCCGGTGCGGCCGTGGCCGCCCTGGTCTGGGGGCTGCCGGCCTGGGCCGGGTGAGGCTGCCGGCTACTCCGCGCGGTAGTCGTCGTGGCAGGCCTTGCAGGCCTGGGCGACGGCGCCGACCAGCGGTCCCAGCTCCTCGGCGCTGAGGTCCGAGGCGGCCGAGCTCAGCTTGATCGCGGTCTCGCCGAGGGCGGCGGCCTTGTCCGTGAAGTCGGCCTTGTTCTCCCAGATCTCGGGTAGCGCGTCGCTGTCGGCCTGCATGTCGGAGCCGGCGGGGAAGCCCTCGACGATCATGGCGGACAGGGTGGCGATGCGCTGGGCGCGCAGCTTCGCCTCGGCGGCGTTGAACTCCGTCTCGCCCTTCGCCATGGCGGCGAGCGGCGCGACATTCCACTTGAGGTTCTGGAACACGCCCTGGCGGTAGGCGACCGCCTCCTCGGGGCTGGCGGCCAGGGCGGCCAGCGTGCCGCCGGCGGCGAACGTGGCCACGACCGTGGCCGCGAGTAGAGCGCGGGTGCTGCGTGCGAGCATGCGTGTGTGACTCCCCCGGTTGAATGGTGGCGGCCCTGCGCCGCCACGGGTGACTCCGGCAAGAATGCCACGCTAACGCGCCTTCGCGAAGGTTTCGTGACATCGCCGTCTCGCGGCTGACGGGCCGGTGGCGCTTGGCTACAGTCCGCCGCGCCGAAGCGGAGATCGGGGCAAGGGAGGCGGCGCGGACATGGCCGAGGGGTGCGAGACGGAGGGCCGCGAGACGGAGGGTCACGAGACGGAGGGTCACGAGACGGGGGGCCGCGAGACGGGGGGGCGCGAGACGGAGGGGCCGGCGGCGGCACGCGGTCGTGCGGCGGAGGTCTTCCTGGCCTTCGTCCGACTGGGAGTCACCGCCTTCGGCGGCCCGGTCGCCCATCTCGGCTACTTCCGCACCGAGTTCGTCGAGAAGCGCCGCTGGCTCGACGACCGCAGCTATGGCGAGTATGTCGCGCTGGCGCAGTTTCTGCCCGGGCCGGCCTCCAGCCAGGTCGGCATGGCGCTCGGCGCGCACCGCGCCGGCTGGCTCGGCGGCCTGGCGGCCTGGACCGCCTTCACCCTGCCGTCGGCTTTGTTGATGCTGGCCTTCGCCTACGGCCTGGTGGCGCTCGGCGATCCGGCGGGGGCCGGCTGGCTGAAGGGGCTGAAGCTGGTGGCCGTCGCCGTGGTGATCCAGGCGCTCTGGCAGATGGCCGACAAGCTCTGCCCCGACCGCGCGCGGGCCGGGCTGGCGCTGGGCGGCGCCGCGCTGGCGCTGCTGCTGCCCGGCGTGGCGGGGCAGGTGGGCGCCATCCTGCTGGGCGGCCTGGCCGGCGCGCTGGCCTTCCGGCGCGAGGCCCCGGCGGCCGCGCACAGCGGCCTGGCCGTCGGGCGCAGCGCGGGAGCGCTGCTGCTGGCCGCCTTCTTCGTCCTGCTGCTGCTGCTGCCGGCCCTGCGCGCGGGCCTGGCCGACGGACCGCTGGCGGTCTTCGATTCCTTCTACCGCGCCGGGGCCCTGGTGTTCGGCGGCGGCCACGTGGTGCTGCCGCTGCTGCAGGCGGAGACCGTGCCCGGCGGCTGGGTCGAGCGCGACGTCTTCCTGGCCGGCTACGGCGCCGCGCAGGCGCTGCCCGGGCCGCTGTTCAGCTTCGCCGCCTTCCTGGGCGCGGCGAAGGAGGGCGGCGGCGGCGGCCTGGCCGGCGGGCTGATCGCGCTGGTCGCGATCTTCCTGCCGGGGGCGCTGTTGATCTTCGGCGTGCTGCCCTTCTGGCGGGTGTTGCGGCGCAAGCCGGCGATGGCCGGCGCGGTGACCGGCGCCAACGCCGCGGTGGTCGGCCTCCTGCTGGCCGCGCTCTACGATCCGCTTTGGACCGGCACGGTGACCGCCGCCGGGGACTTCGTCTTCCTGTTGGCGGCCCTGGCGCTGCTGATGCTGCTCAAGGCTCCGCCCTGGGCGGTTGTGGGACTGGGCGCCCTGGCGGGCTGGGTCTTGCTGTGAGGCCGGCCAGGATTTCCCGGTTCGCGGCGCGGTAGCCGGGGGCCGTCACCTGCAGGCGCCCGCGCACCCGCGCGTGCAGCTCCGGCAGGGCATGAAAGGGCACCGCCGGGTAGGCGTGGTGCTCGGCATGGAAGCACATGTTCCAGCACAGCCGCCGCATGGCGCCGTTGGTCAGCGTGGTGCGGGTGTTGGCGAACATGTCGGGGACCTGCGGGCAGCCGCCGTGCTCGGCCAGCAGGTAGAGCCGCAGCAGCGGCTGGCCGAGCAGCAGCGGCCCAATCCAGAGCACCAGCGGCAGCCAGCTCGCGAAGGCCAGCGCCAGGGCGGCGACCGCGCCGTAGACCGCCAGCATGGCCCTGGCCTCGGCGATCACTTTGGCGTGATCGCGCGCCGGCAGGTAGGGCTGCGCGGCCCGCCCGGCGGCCAGGCCCAGCAGGGTGGCGAGCTGGGCGCGCCAGGTCGGCAGGCCGGAGACGTGCAGCAGCCAGCCGGCCGGCGAGCGGGGCTTGGGCAGGGCCAGCTCCGGGTCGCGCTCGGGGTCCTGGGTCCAGCGGTGATGCGCCATGTGGAAATGGCGGAACCAGGTCGGCGGCATCAGCAACAGCAGCCCGGCGCCCCAGGCGACGGCGGCGTTCAGGCGGCGGCTGCGGAAGGCCGAGCGGTGGCTGGCCTCGTGCAGCGGGCAGAACAGGAAGATCAGCAACGTGCCCTGGAGCAGCCAGGCCGGCAGCACCCAGGCGCTGTCCCGGGCGGCGAGCGTCAGCCCGGCGGCCAGCGCCAGCAGCCCGAGATGGCCGCCGAGCTGGAACAGCCCGGCCCGGTCGCTGCGGCGGCGCGACAGGCTTTGCGCCAGGGCGCGTTCGGAAGGGGCGGGGCCGGGGGGGTCGGTCCGGGGCATGCGTCCTCGTTTGGATAGCAGTCGCGCCGGTGGTAAGCGAGAGGTAACCTCTGCGATCTATAGGATGCCAGTGTCGCGTGTCAGCCAGACTCCGGGAAAGCTCATGTCGCTCAAACGCCGCGTCGCCTCGGCGGCGCTTCTTCTTGGCCTCTGCATCGGTGGGTGGCAGCCGGCGGTTGCGCTGCCGCCGGCCGAGGGGGCGGTCCTGCTGGAGGTCACCGGCACCATCGGCGCCACCAACGGCAGCACCGCCACGGGCGAGCCGGCGGCGAAGCTGGATCTGTCCCTGCTGGAGCGCTTCGGCGGGACGGTGCTGACGACCGACACCCCCTGGACCGAGGCGCCGGTGACCTTCGAGGGCATGTCCGGTGCGCAGCTTCTGGCGCTGCTGGAGGTGACCGGACAGAGCGCCACGGCAATCGCCCTGAATGACTACCGGGTCGAGATTCCGGTCTCGGACTTTCGGGAGGCGGGGCTGCTGATCGCCTACAAGCGCGACGGCAAGTCCATGCCGGTGCGCGAGAACGGTCCCTTGTGGATCGTCTTTCCCTACAGCCAGCGCGCGGACCTGAACACCAACGCCTATCAAGCGCGTTCGATCTGGCAACTGGCGCGGATCGAGTTCCGGTAACGGTTCGCGCGTGGCCGAACCCGCAGAACACACCAAGCCCGAAGGTCCGGGCGGACTCCGCCACAAGGGCGGTCTACCGGCTCTTCTGGCGTTGCTGGTCGGGGCCGCGCTGGGCGCCCTCGCGATCCTGTTCGCGCACGCGCTGAACGAGATCAACAAGGAGGTCGGCGACCCGCCGGACAATCTGCGCTGGGCGGTTTCCGACCTGGAGCACGAGTTCCTGCGCCTGCGCCTGGCCAGCGAGCGGACGGCACAAAGCGGCAGCGCGGCCGATTTCCAGGCCTTGAAGCTGCGCCTGGACATCTTCGCCAGCCGCATCCCGATCCTTCAGGTCGGCACTTTCCGCCGCAAGCTGGACGAGCGGCCCGACCTGGCCGCGATTCTGGCCCAGGCCGAAGCGACGCTCGCGCGGGCCGACGAGGTGCTGCTGCAGGCCGAGACTTTGGGCCGGCGGCAGACGGCGCAGGCGCTGTCGCAGGCGCTGGAGCCCCTGGCACCGGCGTTGCGCCGGATGACCGTACGGGTGGGGCAGCTCGAGAGCCAGCAACAGGCCGACTACCAGACAGAGATGCAGCGGCTGCTCGTCCTCATCGTCCTGGTCTTCATCGTGCTGGCCGCCGGGGTCTTGGCCTTCGTCGTCCTGCTCTGGCTGCAGCACCGCCGCCTCAGCCAGTCGAACGCGTCGCTCTCGCGGCTGTCGCACGAGCTTTTCCAGGCGAACCAGACGAAGAGCCGTTTCCTCGCCAACATGAGCCACGAGCTGCGCACGCCGCTCAATGCCGTGCTCGGCTTCTCGGAGATCATGCGCGAGCAGCACTTCGGCCCGCTGGCGCCGCGCTACCGTGGCTATGCCGAGGACATTCACCGCAGCGCCAACCACCTGCTGGAGCTGATCAACGACGTCCTCGACCTGTCCAAGCTGGAGGCCGGGCGGCGCCAGCTCGACCGCAGCGATCTGTCGATCGGGGTGGAGTTCGACTACGTCAGCCGCTTGCTCACCAGCAAGGCCGAGGGGGCCGGGCTGCGGCTGATCGCATCGGTCGAACCGGATCTGCCGCCGGTCCCGGCCGACCGCCTCGCGCTGCGCCAGGTCCTGCTGAACCTGGTGGTCAATGCCATCAAGTTCTCGCCGCCGGGCGGCCGCGTCACGCTGCGGGCGGCGCGCGCCGGGGACTGCCTGCAGGTCTGCGTCATCGACGAGGGCATCGGGATCGCGGCCTCGGACCTGGAGCGCATTCTGCAGCCTTTCGAGCAGGTGCGCTCGCAGATCGGCGCCGCGGCCGAGGGCACGGGCCTCGGCCTGCCGCTCAGCAAGGGGCTGGTCGAGCTGCACGGCGGCGAGATGTGGATCGACAGCCAGCCCGGGGCGGGGACCACGGTCAGCTTCACGCTGCCGCTTCGGCGGGAGGGACAAGAGACGCCCGGCGGCCCGGCCGCCGGCTTCGGGGCCTAGATGTGAGCTTCCAACAGG